TAATTTTATTTCTTTACTAAAATAAGCTTTATAGAGCTCAAGGACACATAAAAAATTGAATAGATTTAATAATATTAAGATATTAACTAGATTCAGTGGACTAGTTTTATACTTTTATAATAGTAAAGGAGCCATGTTGACAATCATTAAGTTTAGTCCTTAAGTAGAGATTTTAGATATTCTTGGCATTGAGTATAAATTAGTATTGCACTAATCTTATAGATCTTGAGTGTGTTTTTTTTATCATACTATATCTTTTAACAGTTGAATGTATTCTTTAGATATAGCTGCTTTACAGTGGTAGGCATTATCAAGATTAAGTAAAAAATGTGTGAATTCACACCTACTGGGCAATCTAGTGATTTTTTTTTTTTTTTTTTTTTTTTTTTGAAATATATAAGAAAAGTCTATAAAGGCAGCTATTCTTCTATAAATTTCTTTGTTAGCTTTTTCTAAAGAGATTACTTCCACTTCTATTTTCTTAGTGTGGTGGTAGTTCTACATGCTCTTAGATTAGTAGATATCAGGGTCAATGATCTCTAGCCATAGATGACTAAGAATTATATTATAACTAACGTAACCCACAAGCGGGTCGCGCACTTTCCGACCAAGGACAGTGAAAAGGTCTAATTTAAACATCTAAAACAGCATTTATATATAAAAACTAATTATTACTGCGATTAGGACAGTGAGTCCTTTTATGTCCCAAAACATTGCAATCAGAACACTGTGGTGGCGCCCGTACATGTGGTTGAAATGTCAATACTGCAGTCTGCATCTGTATAGTATCTTCAGTTCTCTGGACCTCATTCCTCTGCTGCATAAGCTCTATGCCTTCTTGAATAGACAGGCCATCAGTATGAGCTATCTGTCGCTTGGATCAATTCCGCTTTTGCAGCATTTTCTCATGTGCAGCCCGTAAATCCTGGACTTCTTTGGAAAGAAGGATTGCACTATTCATATGGATTTCACACCCTTTGACAACCCGGTTTATTGCATCATTTATTGGGCTTGGAGGACTCTGTGTACGCTGCCTTAGAAGCCTCTTGATTGTAGATGCCTGCTTTTCCAGTTGCTTGAGATTATGAGGTGTTTTAGGTGCTGAATCGGTAGATTGGCTGCTTGGTGGTGTAGGGGTCTTGAGTTGTATATTGAGCTGCCCAAGCACCCTTTCTGGATTGAAAGGAACCAGGCCACTTGCAGCAAAGCTATTCCTGATATTTTCCATCTTAAAGACCTCTGTACGAGCTTGGGGATAGGCCTCAAGAAAGTCAAATTTGTCAATATGGTTGAAGTTGAGCCGTGCCTTGTTCTCAACCAGACGCCCATATGCCCGCTTCAAAGGTGAGAAGCAACCCACATCAAGAGGCTGTAAGAGATGTGATGAATGAGCAGGCATGCAGATTGGTATAATATCATTCTGACTGCATATCTCATCAAATTTAGGTGTTAAATGACTCCCATGGCCGTCAAGAATCAAGAGGCAATATTTCCCAGTCATACAGCCATTTGTAGCTGGAATAAAGGTATTTTGAAGCCATCAGTCCAATCTGATCAGTTGTTCCATTATCACTGACTTCAATCCTCCAATTGCGTGGGAAAGCCTTATCTTGATACCATCCCTCAATATGGACCTTTCCTTTGAAGATGAGACACAGCGGGAGAGCCCATCCAACAGGGTTGATACACTCAACAGATGTCACCCATTCCCGATTCCCTGGCTGTACAAGACAGGGCCGGCCAGTCATCTCAGCTCTAGTAACTACCTTAGCAGTAGCTATTAGGCCCATTGCATATCCTGTCTCATCAAAGTTGTAGATATCTTCAAGTGCAATCCCATGTTGCATGATAGTAATTTGCACCAGATCAAACCACTCCTGAATGATTTTTGGATCTTCATTCTTAGCCTGCTGGTAATTATAGCGTCAAGAATATTTGGTTTTGAGCTCATCTTGCTGTTGAATGAAGTTGTAAACCCAATTGACACCAACAGTTTGGATGTTGGCAGAACCGCACTTTGACAGTAGAATATTGGCCATTTCTTCAATATGAGCTGGTCGGGGAGCTGCTCCACGTCGATCCATGGAGCATATCTTAAACATAAGAGTCAGGGAGCTGCTCCACATCAGTTTATAAAGAGTATCCATTATAGAAGTGATTCCTCTCTATTTTCAGTCATTCTATGCCTAATGACATGCATGCTTTTCAGGCTGTATAGTTATATCATAGAGTCATTATCAGTGTCATGGAGCTCAGCTGGGATAATAGAACATCAACTCATGTATTCTATCTAGGTAGCTATCAATGAGAATAATCAACATGAGGAAAGAAAAAGAAGAATAATGTGCCATTAGTGTTGATAAGACTTATATCCCTTGCTTCCAGCATGTGAGAGGTATACACATAACCAGACTGTCACAATCAGAGGGCTGTTTCAGAGACCTGAAAATGGCATACTGCTTGTATAGTCTGAATTGTCTGAATTTGAGATTCTTTTAGAGAGATATTGCTAATAGAATCAATCCTCCCTCTTACTCATTTAAATTTTGGGACTTGAGAGGCATTTTTGATAGAATAGTAGTGGTTTAAAATGATTTAACTAATTGAAGACCACTCTGGTTAGGAGAGATTTCATGTATAATTATTAGAACTTCAAACCTATCTAGCAGCATGACATATTCAACTCTTAAAATTCTTGAGATTCTAATCATGGTAATCTTCAGTCCCTGATATATATATGAGTACTCTAAGATATTTTAGGTAAATGTCAAGTGTCAATGAGAAATTATTATGATGCCAAGAGAAAAAGTTGGTTTCTAACTACTCCTATTACAATCTGAACAAGTGTACTACTTTTAATATAGATTATAAACTTAAGCTTATTATATATAAATCTAGAAGGGGTCCACATGGAAAAAGCTTATATAAAAATCATTAAAAGCTAGCCTAAAATAAAATGCATTAAGTCTTCTTAGATTTTATAAATTTTTATCAACAGTTTATTAAGAACTACTTAAAAATAATCTCTTATCTTATTGGTATTCATTACTTCATGATAACTAAGGAGTTTAATGAATGTCAGATATTTATAATAAATATACCAAACAAATGAGTCTTTGATTTCTATATTAAATACTATCAAGACTTACAGAACCCTGCTAATACTTTAAGCTAGTGGCTAGACTATCAATCCACTAATAAAGAAGAAAAGAAAGATAGTATAATTATTCTCTCTATACTATATATAAAATAAAACTATAGAGTGAATGAAGTCTTAAGAAGTGTAGGGCTGGATACCCTTCTTTAAAATGTATCTATTAGTGCAATGATAGATATACTTAGAGTAGCCTTTAACATAGCCTTAGATGGCAGTGTTAGGGGAGTCTTTAATTAGATTAGAAAAGACAGCAATAGAGATAATAAAATAATAAACCTTATATATATTAGAGTATCCTATAATTAAGGCTAATAGAGCCCTGTGAATGAGAGACCCCTATGTTTTATTAGAGAATCAAAACTATTATTATCATAGCTGTTAGTTATTTAGATAATAATAGTAATCCACTCACAATTTCCAGGCTGAATAGATTTAACTTAAATGCAATGCTTTAGAGAGCACTAATATAAAAGAGAAGCAATTTAATATAATGGTTAATAGAAATAAACAGCTGCCTGGCATGAAAGTTTACAAGGCTTATACTAAAAGGAGAAGAATAGAGAGAAAGAAACTATAAAAGGATAAGGTAAAAGGCCATGGCAAAACCCCGAGTGCTAAAGGAAGGTGGAGGGTGGAATAGCGGAGAATAGAGTGGTCAGAAGAGCCAACCAATCAGAAGCTGAGAATGTTAGGTCTCAAACTGTACAACTCGATCACAGAGATATATATGAATGTGATACATATATATTATATTGTATGATAGAATTTATTTTAAGAAACCTCTAAAATATATTAATTTACTAATTTTAATTATTATTGCCTTCTATGCTCCTACTGTATATTATATTATTAGCATCTCTCCTTTACTCCGTATCTTGCTGTTTGAACCTATATATTGGGATACACCAACTAAATACCACTCCCTGCTCACTATATACTAATTAACCTTCAATAATACTCCTAATATATGAGACTCTATAGCCTTTAGCCTCGAGTTGCCAGCAGTCTAATTATTACAACAAAAACATTTCTAAGATAAGTGATTAATTAATTTCTAAAAAATATTTGTCTAGAATTTTATACTTAGCACCCTTATTTAAAGTCTATAGTATTTACAGCCCCAATTTTTTTACAGCTATTTTTTATGATTTAGTTTATTCTAGTATATTTTGAATATTGAAAAATGTGTATATATTAGTTTTTATGACATATAATAATTATGATGCTGCAGGCTAAGTATTGTTAATTGTTATAGTGTGTATTAATTTAGATAAGGTTATTTTAATGTCTTAAATCGTTATTTTTCATTCTCTATTATAATAACAATTTAAAGCTCTTATTTTTAATATTACACAGCTAAAATTATTCCTTCTAGAAATTCTTATTTCATTAGATCCTTTATCTTAGTTTTAATCCTGTTTAAGAGGCAATGATTTTTATTATTATTCTCTGACTAGATCATTATTACTGGGCTCTCTAGTCACTGTAAAAGAAGATCCTAATTTACAAGCTCATTCCAAGTTATTCTCAAAGGATGTGTTGCTTAAAGGCATAGTGTGGTTTTTATCGGCTTATTCTAATAAGAACAATCAAAATTATGAGACTATAAGTTAGAAGGATAGAATAGCATGGTGATAACTAAGTATAAAAGAGAGTAATAAGCAGAGAGAAGAGAGTATAGGTTTATATTCAAGAGTGATATAGTTTATAACTGATTACTGGTCTTCAAGATGAAGCCCAGCAGTGTGAGACAGGTGACTCCTGTGACTCCTGCTATAAAGTATGTCCAGGGCCCCAAGGCCTACTGTGAGGCTTCACAATTAGTTAATAGATTTTATTAGATCCTTCTTTATTTTGATAACAATTTAAAACTTTTATTTCCCCTCCAATTATTGCTCCCAGCCTTATTTTTGGCTTTTTATATACCATAAATATGTACATGTTTTCCCGCATTTTTCTTTCTTTCCCCTTCAGCTGCAGACACCATTCACAATATAGATCGTCCTCTATCCTCGGGTTTTCCGGTCTTTGCAGATAGATGCAGTGACTAGTCATCTGGGTACTCATCTCGTATGTTACTAACAAATGACCGAGTGTTCGCATCCCATCGCTTGAAATGCCTCCCAGCCACTGCGGTTAGGTTCGAAGGCAGCTCCCCAAGAGAACGGTCAATCGGCTCGATATTTTCCTCGGCTACATAGCGGACTGATCTGTCCTCAACCCTAATATTAGTTAGCGGTTTCGAGAACCAAAAAGTTTATGGTTTACCTACAGAACGTGGTAAAAACTCTGGTGCCTGCCTGTCTGCAGGCGATCTATTCCCATCGTTCTCATCCAATTTTCACTGGCCTCACATTCCATATCCCACCCGGTGACGATTGCCTTGTACCTATAGCGACGGTGCCGAAAGACCTGACCTATCCGATATCTTACACCCTTGTTACTGGTAGTTCGATGCCGTACTTGTTTTGGCATCTCATCATTGGCTCGTATGTCATGAAGACTTCCCAAAATATCTTCATATTCCGGCAAGCCCCTAAGAAGAGGGACAATATGCTGCTCGACAAGGTAGACGTCAGATGGGAAATCCGTAGCAAATAGCTCCATTAGCCAGGGTAAATAGTGCCGACGCTCCGCTGGCTGGGCAGGCTCTGAGAAAAGCATAAACGACCAAAATGCAGCATACTTTGCACTCGCCACATCAATCCGTGCCTGGCGCACGTTAGGAAACTGCATGCGTTGGATCGAAGTCAAGATATTCCTTCCGCATCGTAGGACTATTTGCGATATTGAAGATTCGCCCAGAAAATTCGATCGTTCGATGTCGGAAGCCCCCAAAAGAAGCAATTGATTCTGTAAGTTTGAAATATGCGTCTCTTGTTGTGAATGAAACGGATCCAAGTACATGGGTTCACCTTGTTCCGCGAAATTGAGCGCATTTCCATCAATATCAAAGCCCAGTGCTGGCGTGACAATGACGTGGACATGCAAGGGAAAACCACAAGGCCGGGCATTCAGGCCAAGCTTTTGCGCAACATAGCAATAGATAGCTGCTGAGACCAAAGGAAGTGCATTATGATCGGGATCATCTAATACAACCCCCAGGAAATTGTGTTCCAATCGGTGGTACTCTCGTCCTGGCTCAATGCCTGTCAGATTGTTTGTCCTCAAGTATGATGCCACGGCCAAGGCCTTCTCACGGGGCGAGAGTTGGCCTATATTAGGAAAATTGGAGATAAACTGTATAGCAATCTCATTTAGTTTTGTAGTTATCTGTATTGCTATTAGAAGCACCGCATGCATTAACCGTGAAATCCAACATACATCATCTGGACTCCCATCACCATCCTTTGGAATAAAAAGATCGAAAGCACCCAATGCTCTCTCGAGAGATACAATCTCACCAGTCCTTACTTTTGCCCATTCTGCAATTGCAAGGCCTCGGTTGAGCTGGGTTAACAGTGCCTGTGCGTAATATCTATCCTCATTTAATGATGAGCTACAGAATGTTCCCGAGAATGATATCTGGAAAGAGCCAACCTTCTTGCTAAATAGTCCTCTGCTTCCGGTCCTACAGAGAGGTGCCGTAAGAGAGTGTCTTTGGTATCGTATCCAAAATCGACAACCATCCGAAATTTATTGATCCGCCCAGTTTGACTCGCAATGATTCTGTCCAGGAGACTGCTAGTCACGCGGTCGATGTGATGCCTGGATACGTAAAGAGCTTTCCAGCTAACTGATCTGACAGGGCCAGCGAGTTTCTCTGGCAGTCTGTGTCTATGATCCCATTGCTTGAAGTGAGTTTTGCAGTAGAAACGCCATAGTAAAGGCTCATTCGTTACATTTCTGAACCGGCGAGCTGTCTGTTGCAGTGCAGCTGAGGAAGTGGGGTGGCAATAACATAGGATAGAATAAAGCACTTCTTCGGGAAGATTGTCGAGAGATAAAACCATTCCGATATTTAAAATAAGGATTCCCGCGGTATTAAGGCATATGATCGGATCTGTTAAGCGGGGAAGAAAAATTGTAATATCGATAATCGGAGATAAGTGATGTCAATTTTTCATTTTCCATCTTCCTTTTCCTCCTTTTTTCCCACTCTCATTTCTTCTTCTTCTTCTTCTTCTTCTTCTTCTTCTTCTTTATCTTTATATTTCTTTTTCCTCCCTTGTTTCTTTGCCATCACACAGATAGTGATTCAAGGCTGGTAGCTAGCTTGTAGAGTGATAGTGTCGATATAGGGCTTACCCTAACCTGGCTAAAGATTCTATAATTCATGTATTCATGCATGTAACTATGTAATACTGCTTATGTATGTATTCATTTTATATTTAATAATGTGGCTTATGTAGGGAGGAAGACAAATTATTAACTCGTACATGTACCTCTGGCTGGTGGATCTATGCGACCCACTATATCAAGCATGGTACTACTAGTACTAGTTGTATTACTGCTTTTTGAGAGAAAAGGTGAAGGAGGGGGAAAAAAAAAAAAAAAAAAAAAAATCCCAGCCAATTGATCAATATTCTTGCTTTTCTTTACTTTCTGTTTCTGTTCCATTTTTCTTTTCTTTTGCCATTTATCTTTATCTGGCCAGACAATACAGCACAAAGGCCCAGCCAATGGGACAATTTCACTCAACAAGCCATGGAGGCCCAGACTTACCCGAGGGACAAGTTAAGAATGATTATTATGGATTACTTGGTTTACAGTGGGATGCTTCTGAAGAGGAGTAAGTTCATTTCCCCCTATGATACTGAACAGAGCTCTAATCCCACAATTAGGATAAAGAAGGCACACAGAAAGAAAGCCCTTGAGCTGCACCCAGACAGAAACTACGGAAATGTTGAAACCGCAACAAAATTATTTGCGGAGGTACAATCTGCATATGAAGTCCTCTCAGATCCTCAGGAGCGGGCGTGGTATGACTCCCATCGTGAGGTCTTCCTGGGAAGCGGCGCCAGGACAGAAAGTGGTGATTACTCTTATAACACCCGAATGACAACTACAGATGACATCTTCAAACTTTTTTCCAATTTTAGTCCCCGTATGGAATTTTCGGACTCAAAATCAGGATTCTATGGTGGTCTCCGTGAAACCTTCTCGCGGCTGGCTCGCGAGGAGAAAATGGCATGTCAATGGGAAAATGTCGAATACGTTGATTACCCAACTTTTGGATATCGCGGTGACAGTTTCGAAGATACTGTACGGCCATTTTATGCTATATGGAGTAGTTTCTCCACAAAGAAATCGTTTGCATGGAAAGACGTCCATCGTTACTCCGAAGCCCCAGATCGTCGTGTCCGCAGGATAATGGAGAAGGAGAACAGACGCCTAAGAGAAGAAGGAATCCGCGAATTCAATGATGCTGTTAGATCGCTTGTCTCTTTTATAAAAAAGCGAGACCAGCGATACAAACCTAATCCCCAAAGCGAAGCACAACGCCAGGAAACCCTTCGCCAATCGGCGGAAGCACAGGCTACCAGATCGCGAGCAGCTAACCAAGCAAAGCTACGTGAATATATTGCTCCAGATTGGGCCAAATCGGAAGAGCTGCAGGAATATCGAGATGACAACTCCGAAAGCGAGGTGGAGCATTTTGATTGCGTGGTGTGCCACAAGAGTTTCAAGAGTCAACAACAACTTCAAGCTCACGAGCGTAGCAAAAGACATTTAAAGGCGGTCAAAGATCTTCGTCAAGAGATGACAACACAGGATAGGCAATTGAATTTGCAAGGGAATGAAAATGGGAATAATATTTTTGAGGATGCACATCTGCGGCAAATCAAGGAACATGGCGATAACAACCGGATGGCTACAGCTAGATCAGACTGTGAATCAGATTTACGTGAGTCTTATGATGTGACTGTTGACCTCCAGAGATTTGGCGGTCTCGGTTTAAATCAGTTGGAAAATCTCAATATCAACGCTTCAGACAACGGTACTAGCCATGACCCTAATATTGAGACGCAATCACGCTGTCCTCTTGCCAAGGAAGACAATGGAAGTCAGGAGGCAGACAATGTGTTGTCTGGGATGCCATTGACCCACGGGGGGCAAAAGAAATCGCCTGAGAAAATGGGAAAGGCCAAACAAAAACGTGCCAAAAAAGCTGCACAAAAGCAGGCCAACCCTTCAACGGATCTGACCTGTGCAATGTGTCATTCGACTTTCAATTCTAAAAATCAGTTGTTCTCCCATGTCAGAGAACTTGACCATGCGCAGCCACTGCCCAATACTTCCAGAAATATGAAGTAGCAGGCTGACACAAGCGTCATATCATGTCTTGGCGTACGAAAACTGGGCTCATTTGACGATATTTTATTATCAATACTATGTATCTGCACCAATGATACTTATTAAATGTACAAGAGCCCCGGGAGGATGGTTAGCCTAGGCCAGCTTTCGACTTTTTAACCACATGTGCAACAGGTAGTAGGATACCCTTGTTGTTAGTCGCACCAAGAGCAGTTCCTGAGCTCCATCCCATTTTCTCTAGCATAGCCCGTCCCTTGTTTTCTGCGCCTATTTCAGGTGCTGATGCGCCAACAATGTCACCGTCCATGTAAGAAACGGAAGTGTCCGGGCGACCACCACGAGTTTTCACTGATTTCTTTGCACTTTGGTCACCTGTCTTTATTGTACGATGGCGAAACCTCCCATGCGAGAGTATCTTGTCGGCTTGTGAAATATTATGTTGATTATACTTCGAGGTACGAGAAGTTTTGTAGAGAATAGGAAACCTGGAGGGACCCTTGCCTCGGGAATGCGATTTCAGTGAAAGAGCATTTGCCATATCATGGACAAGTTTCCTTAGTTGTTTATTGATCGGAGGTAAAGGCAAACTAAGATTGTCAGCGATGTTCTGTGAAAGATGGGGGGGGGTTATTACCTGTCTTTCGATGATAAAAGAAAGGCACGAATCTCTGATTTTAAGTCATCAACACCCGTGCCATGTGCATACTTGGTCTTCAAGTCTGGATTGCCTATGCTTCGGCCTAGCAATCCCTGCGAGCGAAGCTCCTCACGTTTTTGCTTTTTGGATTTCTTCTTTTCTCGGTCATTTCTCCATGCCCTTTCTAATTCCATCTCGAGTTCGCTATCGGATAACATAAGATCGGGAGGGCCTTTTCTCCCCTTGACCTTCTTCCTCAAGCTGGGTCGGTTATAATCCATTATATCGAATCCGTGATAAGGGTCTGATTCTAGCGCATCAGCAAAGGCTGACGCCGAAGGGAATCTTGTTTTCCTTGGTTTAGTTTTCGTGTTCCAGCCAGAGGCAATTTCGTATAGTGACTCAATGTTCTCCAAATCGACCTCTTCATCAAGCAAATCTTCGTCGGACTGAACCTCCAAGTCACTGGCTTCGAATTCTTTAAATTCTTTCAAGTTGTCACTACTTGACAGGCTGACTGAACCAGGGTCTTCATTGAGACGCGGTGATAGACCGAATTTGTTCATGTCAACGTTGTCTGGTTGCGCGTTGCTTGATGTGTCCGTTTCTTCGTAGTCGACGTCCATGTTGGCGATGTAGTCGGCAAGTATATCGTTTTCATCGTCCTTCGTACTTTTTGTACTTTCCTCGTTGAATATTGCTTGACCATCTCTTCCGGGGGGTGTAGAACTGTGTCCTGCTTTGATTGAAGCCTTTGAAATTGGGTTCTGACGCGTAATGAATGTTTCTAAAGACTGCGGTTCATATTCATCATCAATCGTAATTGGGTATTGTGAAGGGTTCTTCTGGTCGGTATATCTGTTCCGTCCGTGGAAAACTACTTCGTCCCCACTTGAGTCTTCTGGGCTGAGTGAACGCAATCTAGAAACAGGGTTGGGTAGACCTGTGGGTGCGATGTTTTGGCTTGACCGATCAATAAAAAAACTAAGCTCGAGGGATGTATTCTCATGAGAAATGTCGTGTTTCTCAATGTCCAGTCCCGTTTTTGACGTCGACTCGCATGGCTCTTTCTCAAGCGATGGTGCCGTTTGATTTTTCGTCTCCTCCGGTTCCAGGTCACCGCCTCTCACGAAATGGACTGCTTTATGGCGCAGTTGGGAACATGGCAGCCAGATATTGCGGCCTTCGGTGTTTCGCGCCGCTTGCTGCATGGTAAGTTTATTTGGCAACTGGCCTTGATACAGTCAGTTATATATAGGTATGTTATCAAGATGGTGAAGCATACTGCCTACACCTTGACGGGCCCTCGTCATGGTCTCCGGTTTTTTCATCCGTGCCTTTGATTTGCCATGACGAGCCATTTCTGTCCGCACGTTTCGTTTGGAAATTGGCTGTCGCGAGGGTGATATCGGTTAAGGTTGCGTGGTAGGAAGAGAGTGGCGGGATGTCGGCTTTTCTTTGATGCCAAGCCAGAGGAGCGATAACAGCTATCAGACACTGAATGATTAGTCATTCTTGCTCGTCAGCTCAATCTATTATGCCCGGTTATGCTTGAACTACGAAATACGAAATATGTATAAAATAAATACTCCTATCACGCTCTAATGTGTAAACATGCTACTAAACACACTACTGTACAGAGTACTACGTACGGAGCATACCCCAAATCATAGGTACCCCACTTTCCCTGTGGTGGTATATACTAGTACAATCTAGGTAGTCCCCACCTAGAGCTCCACGATGACCTCACAAAGGTATTCTTGTGTATACATTTGTACTCTGTAGTATGTATGTACCTGGATGGTGGTTCTTATCCCTTGTATCCTACTTCATGGCTTCGGTCGGATACTGGAGATAATGGTGCCGAGCTTATTGTGGATACACATTACTCCCAAGGAATCTTGTGATTCTGCCTTATCCTGTGGCGTATGTCGGCAGGGATATCTTGCTGGAGTACTTTATATATCCTGTAGTTAATGACTTCGTGCGGTTTTAGTGTCATTGGCTGCCGGGTCATGGGAAGAGTGCATATGATATGGGGGTGTACAGTATAAACACTGTCAAATGGCAATATATATATATGCATGTCACATTGAGCACCCCCTTATATTAAAAAAAAAAAAAAAAAAAAAAAATCGATTCAAAAATTTATTGCATAACAATATCCACAGAAAATGTATAATTCTCTCAAACCCAAGTACAGATCACTGTAACAGACGTGCCTTGTGATAATATGCAAGTATCGGTTAGCAATGGACAGCTCAGTGTATCCAGACCAGTGTTATTACATTCCCTTCTCTTCAATACAATAACTCCATATATACAGAATGTTAGATTGTATGGAGAAAAGGGTACAGAGGAACAGATGCCTCTAATGTAGTTGATTGCCTAAGGCCACACAACAAGCGAGGCGGATCCGCTTTGCTACACCTTGATGAAAGGAAGATATAATAATAATTATTCAAATATGATATTTGTAGAACCGTCTTCTGGGTGAGCTTCAACAATAATAGCACAGCTCTATATTACATTACTAGAAGGCTACAACCCATAATTTACTGTCGCTTCTCTGCAGGATTGCAGGGTGATGATGACGTTTGGACAACTATCTATCATTTGGTTTCCTCGTGACTACAGACAGACCCCTCATTCTCTCACCTTTCCTACAAATTAAATCTATCTTTTGGCCACCCACTTTCAATAACTCTATATTTCTTGGCCCGATTTCCGAATACAGAGGAGGCTCGAGAGGTGTGCATCATCATTCCACATGAAAACCCCCTTTTCATCACAGTCCTCATATATTTGCTATTGAGCAACCAATCTGAACAATTCGGCCTCACTAACCAGCATGAAAGTGAACCAGAAATGAACAGCGTGGACCTGGGAAGATGCAAACGCATCGTACAGTACCTCTGGGACCCTGAGCCCAAAAACGATGAAGAGCCTAGTTCACCTATATGGTGCCTGGGTAAGGAATATACTCGGCATTTACCAGTGACTACACCAAAAAGCGACACCAGTGAGCATTAAAATGAAACCACGATGGTGATACCTCGGCTTACTGATTATCAGGGCCACAAATTCCCGCTTTCGAAGAGGGTGGGCGTGATTCAGAGGACCTCGCACAAGACGCAACAACACAGACCTATGAGACAGCCCTTGGGTGGCCCAAAGCATTCGTATGCGATTTCGAGTCGAGGATTTGGATAACATATAGATCCAACTTCGTCCCAATATCGAGACCCCAGAGCCACGACGCGAACCCAAACATGACACTGAGTGTGCGGTTGAGAAGCCAGCTCATGGACTCACAAGGCTTCACGTCTGACACGGGATGGGGCTGTATGATTAGATCTGGTCAAAGTCTCCTTGCAAATGGCCTTTCTTCTTTGCTGTTGGGACGCGGTATCAATCCCCTCTCGCTATTGCGGCCAATGTCTGGCGAAAAGGGTTGTTTGCTAATGAAAATCTCAGATTGGCAGCGAGGGATGAAAGCCGACGAGGAAATGCGACTGCTATCTTTGTTTGCTGATTGCCCGGATGCGCCATTTTCAATACATCGTTTTGTCGAGCTCGGTGCGGAGCGTTGCGGCAAGTATCCCGGGGAATGGTTTGGACCCTCGGCAACCGCACTCTGTATACAGTATGAAAAAGAAAAAGGAAAAAAACTACCCTGCCAACTGAACTGTGCTCATGCATGAAATAGGGCGCTCTGCGAGCAATGCCAGGAACCGAAACTCGGAGTATATGTCTCTAATGAGAACGCGAACGTTTATCAAGACAAGCTCATGGACATCGCTCGGGACGATGCTGGATGTATTCGACCCACACTTATCCTTCTAGGCACCAGACTGGGCATTGATCATATCACTCCTGTATACTGGGATGCACTTAAAGCCGCTTTACAGTACCCTCAATCAGTGGGAATAGCAGGGTACGTTATGGGCTCATTCGCAACCGAATCAGTTTGAGCTTAGAATGTGAACATAATGCTGACGACATTGGAACAGAGGGCGCCCATCAGCGTCGCACTACTTCGTTGGGGTTCAAGGATCGCATCTTTTCTACCTCGATCCTCACCACACCCGACCTGCCTTGCCTCATCGCCCGGCCCATGAGCTTTACACTGAAGAAGAGCGTGACACGTATCATACTCGGCGTTTGCGGAGGATACATATCAAAGATATGGATCCAAGTATGTTACTTGGTTTTCTTATAAGGAATGAAGAAGACTGGGAAGATTGGAAGAAACGCGTTGAGGCCGGCCGAGGAAAGCCGATTATACATATTCTCAGTTACATGCAGCCGGATTACGGCCTTGGTCGGGAAGAGGCACTCGATGAAGTTGAAGCTCTAGATGATATCGACGGTATGGAGTAAACATTTGAAGTTGACTACCATTGGAACAATGTTATTCTTAATTGTCACTTTGAGTAAGATTCATACTCGTTGCTCCTATTCGGATCCACATGAACATGCGATGAGAGTACTACTTAGTAGTCAATGGTATTCCGAATTCTGGTAGGGGTGAGACCGCGCAACCAACCCCAGATCCGAGTTATGTTACACCGCATTCACATCTTGAAATAACAACCATGAAAGACATTGGGCCCAGGAAAAAAGAGAACAAAACAGATATAGCAAAGCCATCCCATGACACATTAAAAAAAAATCCCGCGAACACCCTTAACCCACTGCCTCAAAACCCTGATAGATGAAGAGGCAGCATAACAAATAAGCAAAACCAACGAAAGAAAACAAGAAACAAAATAGCCTATTTGGCGGAAGAGGAGTACTTCGTCACTGCCTTGGTGCCTTCCGACACGGCGTGCTTGGCGAGTTCACCAGGCAAAATGAGCCGCACACTGAGACTTATGTCAGTCAAGTTCAGGTTGGGTACGAAAAGCACACTTACGATGTCTGGATCTCTCGCGACGAGATTGTCGACTTCTTGTTGTAGGCAGCAAGTTTCGAAGCTTCAGTTGCGACACGCTCGAAGATGTCTAAGGATCGTCAGAACCATTTTCATCTCACACCATTTCTCAGCTTAACATACCGTTGACGAAGGAGTTGAGGATAGACATAGCACGAGTAGAGATACCAGTATCGGGGTGGACTTGCTTAAGAACTTCATGCCGTTAGTTTTGTTTGGAGCTGAGATTGACGCGTGATACATACCTTTGTAGATGTACGAAGAGTAGGTTTCCTTCCTGGTCTTGCCGCGCTTCTTCTTCTCGCCCGACGCAGCAGCTGCGGTCTTCTTGCCAGCTTCCTTCTTCTCAGCGGGGGCCTTGCCAGCAGGGGCCTTGCCACCAGTGCTGGGCTTCTTCTCGGCAGCTTTGGGAGGCATTTTGTTCGTAAAGTTGGATTATTTGTAGTGGTCGGATATCAATTAATTCCAAGCTGTAAAGCAGCAGCTCAGGTAGTCAAAGGCGTATAAAACGGGGTTGTAGATGTAGTCGCGGATAGAATGGGAGGAGAAAATGACTGAGACGCGGTGACGAGGGAGGCGCGATACTTATACGATGCCGCGAAAGCGCAGTTGATCTTGAAGTGCGCAAAAGAGGCAGAATTTCAATACGGTAACGGGTGCGTATGATCCGTATGATTAAGGAGGGGCGGACGCGTCAAATACTACAGGAAAACGGCAACAATCACGCCAAGAGGCTGGTATTAGAAACGTCCAAAGGTTACATTACGGCGCTTAACTCAATCTGGAATACCCGCACGACTCCCTTAGCAAGCTACCCGCGATTCATAGCGGATATATCTTTGCCAAGCATGAATACACCAGTACGTGATCTCTGTTATGATTGGCCAACCCCGCTAAGCGAGAGGGTGATCTGAAGGACCTCCGGGTAGCCCAACGTCACCCTCACCGCGTTCTTATAAATGTCTTCCGCTCCCTCGCGCTGCCTACCACTTCCCATAACCTTTGTTGCACTAACCTGCTGTCACGAACCCATACATCCTTTTTTCTATCTCAAATCGACGTTCAATAACCCAACAAACGACCAAAAATGACCGGAGGCAAATCTGGAGGCAAGGCCAGCGGCAGCAAGAACGCGCAATCGTATGATTCCCAGTCATTGCTTGAAGCCATTTCATTATAATCGCTAACTCATGTTACTCGCGCAGGCGTTCGTCCAAGGCTGGTCTTGCGTTCCCTGTTGGACGTGTTCACCGTCTCCTTCGTAAGGGTAACTATGCCCAGCGTGTTGGTGCTGGTAAGCAACTCTCTTCGCGCCCACAGAGATAAATACTTATACGCGACAGGTGCTCCCGTTTACCTCGCTGCCGTCCTCGAATATCTTGCCGCGGAAATTCTCGAATTGGCGGGCAATGCCGCTCGTGACAACAAGAAGACCCGTATCATCCCTCGTCACCTTCAGCTTGCCATCCGTAACGATGAGGAGTTGAACAAACTTCTGGGTCATGTCACCATCGCCCAGGGTGGTGTCCTTCCAAACATTCACCAAAGTGAGTTGATACAAACTTGTCCTGCGTGAACCGAAATGATGCTAATGTCTTCCCCCAGACTTGCTTCCCAAGAAGACCCCCAAGGCCGGAAAGGGACCGAGCCAAGAGCTGTAGAATGTTTTCACGTTTTTTCTTTTCTTTTTCGTGGGTTTATTTCCGGCGTGATTCGGTTTTGTTATTGATGTGATTCGGGGTTCTGGACTGGGCACGTTTATGGCTCTGCTTTTTTTTTTTTAATGGTTGTATATTATGTCTACGGGCATGGAATGATACCGACAGCTTATTAAGGGATCTTAGCTTTCGGTCATTATCAAATTTGATGGGAAACCATCTGAATGATCAATTATGCGGTTTTTTAAAGATGTTTCACGTTGCGTTATACGAGCGTATTGTATGTCTAGTAGTAGATTGGAGATATAGTCCCGATTGGTAAAGCAGTAGTTTACCTGTTGTTGGTTTTGGCGTAGGAAAGATGAAATGTTACAATGCCGAGGTTTGCTATCTACCACTTGTTGATATGCGCATTCGCCATAACCTACAAAACAGCCCACCTCTTGCTTGCACAGCGCCCTCAGTGACTGTTGGCGTGATCGGAAGCAACTGTTATCTGTTAGCCAGTACGACAGTAGTCCTCAGATCTACATACGAGGTAATTGCCGAGCAGGAATGTTTCTCTCATATTTGTTACCTGTAATAATCATTAGCATAGAATCTCTTTAGGTATCTCGCTCGTTTTGGTCACATACCGCCGGGAGCAGTGGGCATTCTGTAGGGATCAGGGTGTTTCCAGGTATCTAGTAACTTTTCCGTTTCTCTCAACAGCACCTGCCAAACTGTTCTTAAGCCAAAGGCGCAAAATGTTTGCATTCTATGTGGAACGCCTACCTTTTGTTGGCGGGGGTCGCGAACGTCCTTGTTTGCTTCGAACAGCGATCGAATGTATACTGCTTGGCCGCGCCAAATCTGTCTGTGAACCGCCCAGTCGAGCGCAAGTTTTAAAGACCGCCGGTATAGCGAGCTGGAGATAAGAAGAATCAGGTCAGTAGCCCCAATATCCTGTATAGAAATGGACTTACACAACTGTGTTGGTGGACATGGTTGTATCTTGGGGATGTAAAACGGTAGCAAGTAAAACAAAAGAAGTGATGGAACAAACAACTGCTGGTTCAAGTTGAATTGGGTATTTGAATAGAGGTCTGTCACTCCCTGTGCTGACCTATGCCGACATTTGCATTCGCGGTTCCTGTTCGGCGGGCTCAGAAAACTACTATATTGGTGTTATTAGGCAACCGTACAAGCGTAATAATAATACTCCGTCACTTGCCGGATGCATGGAAAATGGGTGAGTGCCGCTGGGAAATTCCGGTTGTCTCGGCCCGGACTCGAGCTCTTGTCGTCTTGCACCTTGGCTTTAAGTTTCGTCACTCTGCACGAGTCCTTCTATCCCCGTCGGATACCACACATTTTACTACCAGCGGCGCCTACACTTCGACATTCCGATATCCATAACTCGCCGTACCCTTTTTTCTTTTTCTTCTCCCTTTCCCCCTTAGCATTGGCGAAACCTGAGTCCGTGTCGAACAATCAACCACCATGGCTTCTCGGTTATCACTTAACCGTTTGTCAGAGCAACAAATGAAGAATGTTTTTCGTATCACCCATGTGCCCCGCAATCTGGGTCTAGGCGGCCGTAGGAGTTTTGCTTCAGCTGCTCTTCGGAAGGGTGTAGTGAACGCCAGCAGACCTACCTCTGGTTTACTACGGGTTTCGGCCTCGGGGTAAGATATTCTGAAACTTGCGCTTGCGGCGGACAGTTGACTTACTCCGGAATTTCAGTGTCAATGTCTTCCTGTCCAAAAACCCCCGTCTGGGAGGTAGCCAGGTCCGAACTTATGGTAATACCCGATCCTGATGTCCGTCGTACAACATGACGTTAACCATTTGTCAGCGGACTCTATCGTGAAGGTTCCTCAAATGGCGGAGTCGATCACAGAGGGAACCTTGAAACAGTTTACAAAGCGTATGGATTTCTTAGGTCGCTGTTCTAGGTAACGTATGCTTACCATGGTCCAGAGGTTGGGGATTATGTCGAACGGGATGAAGAAATTGCGACAATTGAGACCGATAAGGTAGGTGGGAGTGTTTGTAGAAAATCCATACATTTGCACTTTCTCAACTGACTCACGGATCCCAGATCGATGTGTCGGTCAATGCCCCCGAATCTGGTACCGTGAAGGAGCTTCTTGCGAGCGAAGAGGACACCGTTACTGTTGGGCAGGATCTGGTCAAATTGGAACTTGGAGGTGCTCCCGAAACGAAGAAGGAAGATGCGGGCGAGAAGCCGAAGGAGCCTGCGGCCCCCGAAAAGAGCCAGCCTTCTGAACCCGAGAAGCCCAAGTCGCCAGCACCGCCAGCTCCTGAGCAGCCTCCTGCGCCAAAGCCCGAGACTTCGAAGCCACAGACCGAAACGCCCAAGCAAGAGCCTGCCTCTGATGCCAAGCCGGCTTTTGGGAGTCGCGAGGAGCGTAGGGTACGTTTATTACGCTTGTTCTGTTACGCAGATACCCGCTTCCGGTGCTAACAGGACGCTTGTTTGCGGTTTAGGTGAAAATGAACAGAATGCGACTTAGGATCGCTGAGCGTTTGAAGCAGTCTCAGAACACGGCCGCTTCGCTCACTACTTTCAATGAGGTTGACATGTCCTCTTTAATGGAGTTCCGGAAGCTGTACAAGGATGACGTGCTGAAGAAGACCGGCGTCAAATTTGGCTTCATGAGCGCGTTCTCGCGTGCTTGTGTCCTGGCTATGAAAGATATCCCTGCGGTTAACGCATCTATCGAAGGCCCTAACGGCGGCGATACCATTGTTTACAGGGATTATGTTGACATCAGTGTGGCCGTTGCCACCGAAAAGGGTCTTGTGACGCCTGTGGTTCGTAATTCCGAGACAAAGGACCTTGTTGGCATTGAACAGGCAATCGCGGAGCTCGGAAAGAAGGTGAGTGGCCATTGAAGGGATACACGGCTCAGCACTATACTGATCTCCTCAGGCGCGCGATAACAAATTGACCATCGAGGACATGGCCGGTGGCACTTTCACCATTAGCAATGTAAGTGTGCCTCTTGCTCCGCAAAAACAGGACTCGGATATTGATTTGGTATAGGGCGGCGTGTTTGGTTCTCTTATGGGTACTCCGATTATCAACCTCCCCCAGACAGGTAGGTGCCTTCGGCCCATTCTACCTTACAAGCAAATATCTGACACTTTTTTAAGCTGTTCTTGGACTTCACGCTATCAAGGATAAGCCGGTCGCCGTGAATGGCAAAATTGAGATCCGCCCGGTATGTTTAATTTCCATTGACGTAACGCGATTCAAAAAAGTAGTTACTGATATACTCTGCTATTAGATGATGTATCTTGCTCTGACTTATGATCACCGCCTGTTGGATGGACGGGAGGCGGTCACCTTCCTTGTAAAGGTTTGTGGGCATACTGAACAATATTCTTTAGCTCATCTTGCTAATCCCTCACAGATCAAGGAGTACATCGAGGACCCTCGTCGCATGCTGCTCGGCTAAGTATATCGACTTTGGAATTGTATTGTAGGCCTGGATGTGGGATACTAACGCCACTTCGTGTTTCTAACTTATCCTCGATTATTTATCTCTTTTGTCTCTCTCTATTTTCATCTGTAGATTATTATCATGCAAAGAATATAGCAACCATCTCGAATTTGGTTTATGCGGTTTTGAAAACATCCCAAGTACCAATGGCAGTCGTAGCAGTTCACTTCCCTTTCATATTGAAACAAAACATGTCTTGATTGTGCCCTGGAAGCTCATCGCATTTCCATGTATTCATCGAAATCCCACGCGGCTCTTCAACTGTTCCGTTTCTGCGTGGCTCAGTTGGCCTATTTGTCCTCTTTCAAGTTGAACAAGCACCGGGGCGTCTAATGTTTCCATTAAATCAGATAAAAACCCAGTCACATCATCCTCAAGTCGAGACAACGAACGTTCATTCAATGTTGCTTCGAAATTGATGCCCGGCGAGATTCCTTTCTGTGTCTGCATATGACTAGCAGTTGCTTGTTCCCATACCAATGCTTGGGTCTGATCTTCTGGCTTCCAGAATGGATATTTGTTGAACAATTCTGGCAATTGCCTCCCACTGCTGTAATATTCCTCGGCTACAGCCTGCGTCATGAATTGAGTTAGGATATCAACCCATCGTGTGATTGACACCTTCTCCTTTGCTGCGACGCACAGTTTCATGAACTCGGGTATAATCCTGTACAGGTATGTGTTTGTGCGGGGATTGCTTGGTCCGGGCGACGTTGCTGGAAATATCTTCGACTGGCCATGATTTGTTGCATGGGCTTCAGACTGTGTTTGAATGTACCCTTCATACGAGGAGCCCTCAGCAGCTGATGTTCTATGTGGCACCAATTGTGTGTAATCATGAGGAAATATGTCCGCGAAGTCGAGCAGCTGCAACTTGATAAGCAGATCCTGTGGGAGCATGTGGCTTGGAGGTAGTATGTATCTAAATGCTGTAGCACTTAGCATAGATGCCCGTAATCGCACGGGACCGTTACCCAGGAATACTCCCCATGATCTGAACTTACTGTGTATTGAATTAAGAACCCAGTTATCCCAGCTCTCTGTATGGCCTCGGCCCGTTTTTCTACCGTGGATTAGAACATCTATGCCGATACATAGAAGGTAGTCCAGTATAATAAGATCAACGTCATGTTGGGTATCAGGATTCGTTTTATCTGAATCCATCATGGGTTATTGTTTTCAAACTGAACATTTTTGTTATGATATTGCGGATGATCTGTTTGGGTGGAGTGCAGGGTGTCAACCCCACATGATTATCATGCTAGCCATGTGCCAGTCGGATTATTAATATGGTTAGTTAACGTAATCTATCACCGACCTGGCCAAATCACCGAGCTGGCCAGCTAAAATATCCATACAAAATGCCATATTTCAAACCATCATATCTCAACATTCATTTACTATCTTAGCTTCTGACATTAGAAACAGATTATCAGTGAGTAAAACTACCAGTGAGCCAATTTTTAAACGAATTATACCTGTACTCCTTTTTTAATACCCACCTTCAGCTCTTACGCCTATATTACATTGTAATTTATACTATCTTGATAACTAGCTTAGGAAATGGCTTCAAATTGATAACAATTATTATAGTAATGTCAAGAATATTAGGAATCAAATGGTTTAATCTGCGTCTACAAGGACGTTGAGATATGATGGTTTGAAAAATAGCATTTTGTATGGATATTTTAGCTGGCCAGCTCGGTGATATGGCCAGCTCGGTGATAGATTACGTTAGTGTACTCCGTAGTTAGGCAATCAATGGCATATGTAGTAGTATGTAGTACATGGATGGTGCATGGTGCATAGTTATCTAGCCTCTCGGCTGCTTATCGGTGCTCATATACAGTTACTACGTGTTGGTGATTGTATATATATATAATATCACTTTGCTGTATATAACACATATGCATATATATCTTGCGCTCCGTAGTACCCCTGGACACTGCACACTTTTTTTTTTTTTTTCCTCCTTCTTTCCCCCTCTATTTTTCTATCCGTCTCCCTTGTCATTTTACTTCCCCGGAGTATTCTTCCCTACCTGTATTAGTATGTAAGTACACATCAAGTTGATATCACGTTACTATTATGTGAGAATGGCGTCATACATGAGGCTATCACTGACTGATGTGTGACCTAACGTAGGAATAATCCTACCACTTTACCCGTGTCCAATTATTCGTTCCCTACACACTTTCTCAACCGCACTCAGCTACAAGAAAGTGCAGCAGAGGGCATATCTGCATGCTGAAATCAAACACACTGACCCCACTGGCATTGAGTACCATCACAAAGAGACGCTTCTCCATGGCATGGTACTGCTCCGGCTCGACCAATACAGAATTGGTCGAGAATTTATTCAAAGTCGGCCTCATCAAGGATGAACGAGTGAAGGATGCCATGATAGGAGTGAGTTAGCTTCCAACCACCTCCCTTGAGATAAAGTATTCCGCGAATGAAGTAGCTGGGATACTTTAACAACCCGAACAGCCATCCCTCTACAAAGTTACAACCCATGCGACCCCAGCCATTACATAGCAGGAGCTGTAAGGGATTGACATGAGATCAAAGGTCGATCGTGCCCATTATGCCCCCTCAAGACCATATTCAGACTCGCCGCAACCAATTGGCTACGATGCGACAATCTCAGCCCCGCACATGCACGGCCACGCGTGCGAGTATCTTATGGATTATCTTAAGCCCGGACATCGGGTGCTTGATATTGGATCTGGCTCTGGGTATCTAACCCATGTCCTCGCGAATCTGGTTACCGAGTCACCGTCCTCTGGCGGCCATCTAGGCGGTCAAGTGGTTGGAATTGATCATATAAATGAGCTAGTTGATATGGCCCGCAACAATATGCATAAGTCGGACCAAGGCCGCAAGTTCCTGGAATCTGGTCAGGTGAAGTTCATCACAGCAGATGGTCGCCTGGGATGGAAGGAAGAAGCACCTTATGATGCGATTCATGTTGGTGCAGCAGCAAAGGAACTTCCTTCTGTTTTGGTCGATCAACTCCAAGCGCCTGGGCGAATGTTCATTCCCGTGGACACAGAAGACGATGGAAGCTCCATCGAGGCCCTTGGATTGGGTGGAGGCCAGTACATCTGGGTAGTAGACAAAAAAGAAGATGGGTCTGTTCATAAGGAGAAGGTCTTCCAGGTTAGCTATGTACCTCTGACTGACGCACCACGCGGATGAAATAATCTGCGACTGGGAATTTGTACACAGAAATAAATGGGCGAAGTCTCTTTTATTATTTTCACATTGAATCTATCTTTCTCGTATTGCCTAGTGTCTATTTATACATGCATTTAGGAAGCCCTAGGCTACTGACGACATATTTACTGCTGGGTAAACTTATCATGTGAATTCGGAATTATCTTGCCCACAAAGGCACAAGGAAAAAAAAAAAAAAAAAAAAAAAAAAAAAAAAAAAAGGGGGGGGAGACAGGGGGTTTATGTGAGTATAACGCCCCTACTCCGTGCCCAAAAACGCGCCAGAAATAATGTCAACGAAATGGGAAACCACCTGGAAAATTGAAGCCGGGACCCGAGAACTTGAAATTGAACTGCGGCCCTCCCTGTTGGAAGAAGAACTGTTGTCCACCACCAGGGCCAAAGGGGTTTCCCTGGAATGGGTTTCCTCGCTGAGATTCATGATCGTTGGGATCATCGCCACTGTCGTACCGTGCCCTAAGTTCTGGATCCGAGAGAACCTCATGCGCCTCATTAATAGAAGCCATCTTCTTTTCAGCTTCTTCTTTGGGGACACCCTGAGAAGCGGCCTTATCGGGATGGTGCTGCTTCGTCAACTGACGATAAGCGCGTTTGATTGTGCGTTCATCTGCATCACGACTGACACCTAAAACTCTGTAGTAGTCCTTCTTTTTGGAACGCTTTAACAATATGTGCGCCTTTTGCAGAAGATCTTGGGTGTCTTTGGAGTCTGCATGGTGCTCTTTGGCCGTGTTCAGTGTGCGTATTGCATCCTCAAATCGTTCCTCATCAATGGCAGCCTGACCCTTGAACAGAAGGGCTTGGAGGGAGTATGGATTCAACTCAAGCACTTCTGAACAATAAGGCGTGGCGCGCTTAGACATATGCATCTACAGAGGAAAATAAATTAGTAATTACCGAGGGCCTCGTTTTCTGGGAACCACAAACCTCGCGATAAGCCTCGCACGTATTTTCCACCAAAGACATGTAAAGACTATTAGGTGCCGCAGGATGAATGTGGCCCTCATCTCTCGCCTGTGTGACATCCTCCTTAACATCGCCCAAAAGCCCACTGTCCTCACCTACCCCAACCAGCAAATTTGCAGCGTTGCTATATTTCCGCGAACTCAACGCGCCCCGGAGTTTTTCTAGTCGTTTTAGCAGCTGTTTCTCCTTTCGGTAAAGGCGGTTGCATGGCTTTGATTCAGGATCCGAGTGCAAGCATTTCCGAATCTGAGAAATACCACGGTCACCCTCTCCTAAAGCAAAGAACAACATTGACGATATTTGAAGATGTGGCTCCACTAGACTAGGAGACATCTGTAGAACATGCGCCAGGTCGCTAATGCCCTCCTCTATTTCTCCTTTTTCTAGGCGACAATGCGCTCGAGTGCGCCGTAGGCCTAAAGAAGTGGTCGCCTTAACCACTGCTGTGTTAGCTTGGGTTACACACATTTCCCAGGCGCCTTGTTTCTCTGCATCTTGCGCTAGTTGCGCTGCGTTTTGCGCATCCAGTATCTCCTGATACTCCGAAGAGGACTTCTTGCCAGCCTTTTCTAAGTCATCAATTGCACCCGTCCAGTCTGCTGACTTGGCCCTCAGGCGTGCTCGTTGGAGCAGAGCACTTTCAAAGTCCGGTTTCAGCTCTAGCACGCGGTCGAAGTCCTGCAATGCCTGTGAATTCTTTCCAATGGACAAAAAGGTTGCGCCTCGTTGAAAAACGGTGAGATAGTTTGTGGGATCCCGTGAAACTGCTGCATCGTAGAAGAGTAAAGCATCACGAGGTGACCCGTTTGCAAGGTGGGTTTTTGCAGAAGAGATCAAAGATGGAAGTGGTGTATCTGTGGGTATCTGGGAAGCCTGGAGACCATGGCAAACTGTGAGACAGGCCAAAAAGGCCGTGAACGATTCAAAGGAGATGTACATGATAACTTGAACGGTGGTGCAACAAATATGGCGCTCTTTAGAAGTACATCGTAATTTTCGGAATACAAGATGCAATAATATGTTGGGCTGCTTGGGAGAAGAGGAGAAAGAAAAGAGAGACGAGCAGCGAAGAGAATGTTATATGATTGATTTAACGAGTGTCTGTAGAGATGCGGATAAGCAGGCTGTATACTTCCAGTCTGGCCTTTACGGTCCGGTACGTGTGGCGTATTGTAAATATTGCACGTGATTGACGGAGTATTCTCGAATGCGCTCAACATGAAATAGAATGCATTTTTTCTTACGTTTTGGAAACATTTCTCGATTGGAAGTATTAAAGAGACGCGCTTCTACTCAGAAAAGCATGTTCACCGTCCCATGGACGTGCTCTCGATGTCTTAGGCGCTTTCCTAAAATTGCCCCGGATTTGCGGCCATTTTTCCAACGGCGAACTGTGAACACAAGTATGCTCGTCGGCTATAGTATTACCATTGGGCTAAGGACAAGGGCTAATATTTTGCCTCTTTGCTAGTCCCGGATACTGGCCTGTCTCCCGCTTTACTGGTTCGAGCTCGCTCGCTCGCGGCTGAACATTCGGCGCTTTCTTCTCGCCTGGCGGATTCGTTTGATGCGAAAACCGCAAAGCGACTCGGTGAACTAGTATCAGTCGCAGAAACTTTGAAAAAATGGGATAGTGCAAACGAGGTGTGCACTCAAGGCGGATTGAAGTGACTGCAGCTTTTTTGTTAAACTGACTATAATTCGCAATTCATTTAGTCCATATCAGAGCTTCAATCTTTGCTCAACGACCCCAATACGGACTCAGAGTTACGCTCTCTAGCCGTCGAAGACCTGGAGGGCAACCATGGTACCTTACCGGCAATATCAGACAAATTGAAGGAATCGCTTATACCCCGCCATCCATTCGCGGGCCTTCCTTGTTTACTTGAAATTCGACCAGGCGCAGGTGGTGACGAAGCTGGTCTTTTTGCTTTCGAGCTTTTAAGAATGTACACTTCATTTTGTTCTCGACGTGGTCTTGGATCAAGTTTGATTAAAAAGGATGTGGCAGACGGACCCGCCGAGGACTGCCTAAGCGAAGCCGTTCTGGAAGTTGGAACAGATGGGGCTTACGAGATTTTGAGGACTGAGTCAGGCGTGCACAGGGTCCAGAGAGTGCCGGCCACGGAAACCAAGGGACGCACACACACCAGTGCTGTTAGTGTGATGATACTCCCTAGTTTTCCTGAGACGGGTAGTGGCATGGACAGTGGACTCAATTTTGAAGATCCAAACAGTGACTACTACATTAACCCACAGGACGTCCGTACCGAGAAGATGCGGGCGAGTGGTGCTGGTGGACAGCACGTCAATAAAACGGAGTCTGCCATTCGGTTGACCCATGTACCGTCTGGTACCGTCGTCTCAATGCAGGATTCGCGGTCTCAGCACGCGAATCGTAAAAAGGCATGGCAAGTGCTACGGGCAAAGCTGGCAGAAGCAAGACAAGAAGCTCGTGAGCAGGAACTGGTCCAGCTTAGAAGAGGAGCAATGGGGGGCGTTGCCCGCATGGGCCGTGGCGACAAGATTCGCACATACAACTATGGCCAGAGTCGATGTACAGATCATCGCAGTGGCATCACGATACACAATCTGGATGATGTTCTTGTTGGTGGCGATGGCCTTGAAACAGTCATGGATAGCGTGCGGACTTGGCTTGTGGATCGAGAAGTTGAAGCTATGGTCGCGGAAGATGCTGCGAAAAAGCAGTTGATCTAATGACTCGGAGTGCCGCATTTTGTAAAATAAATGAAAACATCAATTATGTATATTTAAGCACTCATGATAATTTATTTCTCTTCCCACTGTAAACCCTATTCTTTAGAAAAGATAAGATCATATATATTTCCTTTGGGGATCAAAAGAGTCCAGAGCTTCAATAGTCTTTTCATACCTGTTTGCAGAAGTTAGCAGTAATCCACTAGGTGCAGGGTTCAGGTAAACAAACATGGTGAATACAATTCCACCACTCATGATCAACCTTGCCAACCGTGGCATAGCACCAGACCAGAGTGTGAGGACTCCTTCGTCCTTGAAGATTTTTGCCGCACAAACGAAACTGTTTTTGTAATTCTTGCTAGCTTCCAGAGATTGCATCCTGTGCTTGGGCATCAGCAACGTAGGTCCAAGCCCAGATCTAGACATATCCGCTTTTCCTTACCTGGTCTTCACAGTGTCAAGGGGCTGGGTAACATAACTGCATTTTCCAACGTTAGTGAGAAACCTATAACTGGAGGGCTATAATAAAAGGTGAAACGTACACTGTTATGAGACCTGCCACGCCTCCAATAGCGAATGTACTGGCAGTTCCCAATTTCTCTCCAGGGGCAACATAACCTTCGGCCAACTGCTTCAATGTGGTATAGCTCGAGAATCTTGTTGCCGAGTTTGCAGCCTGTCTTGCTGTTGTGGGGACAAGACCTTGGAAGAAGCCTCGAATGCCTCTTTCTTGAAATATCACCTTGCTACCATGCACGAGACCGCGCATGCGAGGATTTCCCGATTTCCGGTCGTCAATTCTAGATACCGCTTGTCAGTCTCGAATTTTACATCAGGTCCAAGGTCAGCATCGTCGACCGTGGATGGGTATGGCTGACATTTGCGTCTTAATACTCTCAAACGGGGTAACAGCGATAAGCGATTCTGTGAAACCAGCACCAAAGCCAGCGAGGACCGTCCGTGGGCCCGAAATCTTGCCGTTATCATCCTGGAGAAACGTTTTTATCTTATCAAAGGCAACGAACCCTTTGCAGAGACTGCAGTGTAAGCACAACGCAACCTGTCTAAACTACCGGGGTCAATTAAGGACTCACGGATTCCTGCCTTGAACGAATTCCCAATGATTAACGAGGTACATCCAGCATACCATTGAGGACCAAATTTCGGCCATGGCAGTTTCTTTCCATCAGGTAATCTGCGATTGAGTTGCGAGCGTGTTTTGGCGACTAAGACATCCGGGTCAGTTTTTGAAGAAGGGCATGGAAAGGCATTGCCGTACATTCAGCTGGATAGGTGATCGCTATGATCCACATTAGCTAATGATTGCTGTACCCTAGATCTAGTGAAGGAATATATAATTACCAATCTCAATTGCCCCCGCCGTCGAGCCTGCGACAATCGACCGCAGACTACTGGGCTGTGATGTAGTTAGCACCCCGCTGCAAGAGGCTTTTTCGGGATCTCAACTCCAAGATGCAGACCTTTGATTTCTGATCTTTGCTTGCTGT